CCGCAATGAAAATTTTGGTAAATTTTTTTTTCACCAAAAAGATAAAAAATTTACCAAAATTTACCAAAAACCCGAATAATTCAGGCCAATTTTTACTCTGTAGATGAGGCAAATTTTCGATAGACGAACAAGCCAGAGGAAGAGGAACGAGAAGATAAAACGTCAGCTGCCGAAACATCAAGGCATCTATCAAATTTGTACTACACTTAGCGTATTTCACCCTCGAAATCTCAAGTACCCGCGAGAAACTCCCATAGAATCAGCTCCAGATATACTGCTACAATGCGCAAAACTGCGCGAAATTATACAGGTGCAAATATACCCCCTACAACAGGTGCGGCCACCAAAACCAACCGACCCCGATCAGCTTTTGATGGCCCCGCTATGCAACAGAAAAAACTTTAGGTATATTTGCCCACCAGTTGCCCTACAAAAACAAAATTATTATAAAAAGAGATGTTTAAAATCGGATTTTTTTTCTTCATATCTGTTACCTTCAAAGCTTCTGCTGCGGTATCGCCCTCGTCATCATCAGCAACAGCACGGCTCTGATTCTCCTCCACTGAATTTCCACAATCATTTTCAGTAGCTTTTTTCAGTTCTGCCTGCAAATGTGTTTCCAAATAATCAATCCACAGCATAAATACCACGAATTTGCTTAACCGAAGGCGACCGAAAGGAATAGACTGGGTTTTTTTACAGGTACATTATCATCAGTACACATATCCCTAGCTTCACAATGATTGTCTGTGCCCTAAAAATTCCAAGGCCTTAACTTGCTGACCACTCCCATTTAACATTGCAAATTACCCGTTGTTTTTTTGCTATCAATTCCTCGTCCATACCTTCCCCCTTCCCACCCCCGGCCCCACCCCCTGCTCCTTCCCCTACCCTTTTTTCACAGTTTAGAATCAAATTCTTCAACCACTAAGATATGTTACTTTACCAGTACTATTGAAGGATAAGGTAGAAAATGATGAAATGGAAAAAGAAGGGACGGAAAACGAAGTGGAAAAAAAAAGGGGGAAATGGGAGTATTGAAGGATTTGTAATTGGTAGGAAATGTTTCGATCCATTAAGTATATTTAACTGTACTTACTCAACCATTCTCTCCCTCCCCCACCCCCCCCCCTTAATTTATTACAATTCCTAAAGCCAAAATGTGATACGCCCTAGTTCTGGCCAGCAATTCAGACTATACGACTTGATGGACCGAAACATTCCCCCATTCAGATTTTAATTTATTAATATTTCCATTTTTATTATCTTTTTACACACTCCTTTATAATTACAAACCACCAAAATTTCAATTTTAAAAGAGCAGCAAGACGGCACTGAGGCTCAGTGAGGGGGAGCACCCCGTGTTAGTGATATTTTACTGGGAGGAGAAATATGACATGGCATGCTTATAAGCCAGAAAACTGTAAAAGATACTTGGTCACATGTGAGTGCAGGTATTAGGATGCTCCTGCACTGGCCGGCGCAGCTATGCCATGTCTTTCAATCCTGGACCGTAGGTGGATCCAGGCAGATTGGGGGAGGAGGGGGAGAGGCATGAGCAGCACAGGAACCAGCGCTACAGAAGTCCGAGTTTAAAAGTAAAATTCAAGAAGATCGCCCTCTCTTCCGTACCCGCATTGCCCTCCTCACCCTCTCTCCCCTCCCCCTCCCATCCCAGGTTCGTCGCCGCACCAGTAGACGCATTTCCTCTTACCTCAGTCCACGCTAAGTTACCAGCCACATCCCCCTCCTCACTCCTCGTCTTCGTCACCAGCAGCCTCGTTTCCTTCCCCCTCCACTCGTCGCTCCTTCCTCTCCTCTCTCTCTCTCTCCCTCCCCCCTCCCCCTCTCCCTCTCTCGCCCAGGAAGCCGTTCAGGGCCCGTCTGTGCCAGCGTCCGCGTTACTCGGCGATCGTCAGTGACCACGTTTCACACTTTTCATCCGTTCCAAAAAAGATTGAGAAATGTTAAAAATGTGCGCATACCTCAGCGGGCGAATCTTTCGGCTTGCTGCTCTCCACAGGCTGCTTTCTGGGGATTCGTTTCACGAACGCATCCATGCTACCGCTCTTCTAGCAAGAAACCGCACAAATCCTACAAAAAGAAATCATATTCAAAATTTGGCGCTCCAGCCAAAACAACCTCAATGTATTGTAGCCCTATAGCATTTCGATAGTTCAAAGGATTGCTCGAAATGTGAAAGGCTGTGACCGCTCGATTAACACTCTCAGTGAGAGATCGAAGCACTTTAGTCCGAGTGATAGCGAAAGCCGACAGCAAATCCCAGCTAGCAGCAACGCCATCGACAGCCTCCTCTTTTGAGGGTTGCTTCGTAAAAAGCTGATAGGACGGGGCATAACTCCCCGGGGATATGCCAGTACCAATTTACCATCGAAACGAATTGTAGCGGAACTGGT